GGGGGCTGGAGCTCTCCCAGAAACGCTCCCTCGGGTCCCGGGGCCGGGCAGTGACCGTGGGGTCAGCCCGGTCCGCCCCTGCAGCACCCAGGGGTCCCTCTGGCGCCGTGTCCCCAAGGGCTGCCCCTAAACCCCTCCGTGCCGCAGGGTCTGCTGGACATGATGATCTCTGAGGAGGAGAACCTGAAGGCGTACCTGCTGACCAGCATCACGGCCTGTCGGAAGGAGCTCGAAACCCTCCAAAGGGAGCTCCGTCTGGACTACTTTGAGGTAAAGTGTCACTTCTCACTCCCAGGATCCTGCTGGCAACAGAATTCTGCTGCCTGGGCATCTCAGTGAGGCTGGAGCTCACAGGCCAAATGCCTGCTCAAAACCACCTCTCCTGGGCCTTGGTGGAGCCAAAGACTGTGGCTCCGTGTGGGTTGGGCACAGGCAGATGTTTGAGGGGGGCGGGTGACGTGCAGCATCTCACTTTGAGTGGTGCTGCTGCATGTGCAACCTTCCTGGGGAGCATCTTGCTCAGATGTAGGGCCTGCATCCCAAACAGCTGCTTAAGAAGCCTTAAACATGTAACTGGGGCCTGTGAGAGCTGTGGAGAATAGAGCTGATTGCTGGACTCTTGTAGGCAGAGGAGCAAAGCACCATCCTGCAGATGGAGAAGGATCTGCGCTCCCGCGTGGAAGTGTTGTTAAAGCAGAAAAGGGACAGGAAGCAGGAGCTGAAAACCCTGCAGGAACGAGACCGAGATCTGTGCGACATCCTCTGCACGGCCCCGTTCCATATCGACAGCGACTCTGTCCCCAGCCTGGAGGACCTGGACCTTTACAGGCGCCACTTGGCTGCCCTGAGCCTGGAGAAGGTGAGCAGAAGGGGGGTGGGGTGTCCCCGGGGGTGGCACACGAGGTGCTCGCTGGTTTCTCATGCCTCTCGTCACCTCCAGGAGCAAAGGCAAGAACAGTTTATCAGCACCAAGAGAAAAATCATCCTCCTGATGGAGGAGCTGGACCATACTCCGGACACCAGCTTTGAGGAGGACGTGGTGTGCAAGGATGAGGAAGCCTTTTGTTTGTCTGAGGACAACATCGCTGCCCTGCAGAGCCTGCTGCAGCAGGTAGGCTGGGCGCGCGGAGGCCGCGCTGCCGTGACTCAGGGGCTGTGTGGGCCGTCGGAGGCTCCCGGCAGGAGCCGGCGTCGCCGCGTAAGGAGCGACCGCTCGGTTTCCAGTGGGGCTGTGCATTAGAGCTTCCTTGCGGGAGCTTTTGCAAGGAGATGGTGGAAATGAGCAGTCTTTGCTGGGTGTGGTGCAGCACGTGGCCTCCTCCTGCCCCTTGGGTCGGGCTGCGCTGGTGCCGACCCTGCTCTCCCTCCCGCAGCTGGAAGCCCAGCGGTCCCTGAACGCAGACGTGTGTGCGGAGCTGCGCTCCCGAATCACTGTGCTTTGGGAAAGGCTGCAGGTTCCTGCGGAGGAGAGGGAGGTTTCTGCCGTGCACACCGCTGGATCCAGCGCCAAAACCAGGAAAGCTGTAAGGACCCTCCTGTGCCCTTTGGGTGGGGAGACGGGAGCTACAGTCATTTATGTTTAACATTATCTCAATAATCTTCATTAGCGTATACAGGGGGTGAACTTTAATTTCATTTCACGGATAATGAGGCAAAGCTCGACACTGGGCACAGCCTCGTCTGTTGGAGAAACAGCTCGTCCTTCATGGGAGGAAAAACAGGGCTGTTGTGTTTCTTTAAAACTGGTCATTCTCGTTCTCACACGATGTGAGCGGGTGTTGGCCTTATCAATTCCTTGAGCAGATTCCCTGGTACTGCCAGTGTTGGAGACATTAACAGTATCTTCAGGCTGCTTTGTTTAGGAGAAATTATGAGTCGTCCCTTACAGACATAAATCCTGTTCTGCTCCTTTTCTCCTCATCTGCCTTATCTGAGTCTGGGCTCTGATGTCCTTGGCAGCTGCAGCTGGAAGTGAACACTCTGGAGGAGCTGATGCTGCAGAACCTTAAATCTGTGATTCCGAGAATCCGGGCAGAGCTGGCTGACTACTGGGACAAGTGCTTCTACAGTCAGGAGCAGAGGGAAGGCTTCAGCCCCTATTATGATGGTGGGTTCTCCCTGGTCACTGACTGCCCTGGGGGCTGCAGGCTGCCCTTTGGGGGCCTCCTGGGTCATTGCCCACTGAACGTGCTATTGTGTCCTCTCCAGAGGACTATACAGAGACCCTGCTCGAGCTCCATGCTGCTGAGGTCAGGAAGATGAAGAGCCACTATGAAACACACAAAGCTCTGTTTGAGGCTATCTGGAAATGGGAAGACACCTGGAGGATGTTCCTGGATCTGGAGGTATTGTCCGTGTGGGAAGGTGCTGGGTCACTGGGCAGCGCACGCTCCTGTGGGCAAAGTGCTACTGGGAGAGACTGGGGGGGTCGGTGAGGGGATGGGGTGCTGTCTCTAGAGCCCTGGTGTGGTTTGTGATGGGGGATGGCTTCTGCCAGGGGCTGTGCCCTGCGGGGTGAGAGTGGGTGGTGTGTTTGGTTCTCTCCTGACCTCCCTCCTGCTCTAGAGGAAAGCAAATGATCCGAGTCGTTACACCAACCGTGGGGGCAACCTGCTCAAAGAAGAAAAGCAGCGCGTGAAGCTGCAGAAGGTACTTGCTAAGGTAGGTCCAGCCCTGCAGGATAAGCTGTAGAATCACAGAATGGTTAGAGTTGGAAGGGACCTTGAAGCCCATCCAGTTCCAGCGTGAAGCTGCAGAAGGTACTTGCTAAGGTAGGTCCAGCCCTGCAGGATAAGCTGTAGAATCACAGAATGGTTAGAGTTGGAAGGGACCTTGAAGCCCATCCAGTTCCAACCCCCCTCACAGCAAAGAATTTCTTCCCCAGATCTTATCTCAATCTCCCCTCTTTCAGTGTCAAACCCTTCCCCCTCCTCCTAGGGCTCCCATCCCTGATCCAGAGTCCCTCCCCAGCTTTCCTGGAGCCCCTTGAGGGACTGGAAGGCCGTTATAAGATCTCCCCGGAGCCTTCTCTTCTCCAGGCTGGACCCCCCCAGCTCTCTCCTGTCCTCGCAGCAGAGGGGCTCCAGCACTACTCTTTCTGTAGTCCCAGACAGGCCTAAGAATGTTGTCCGAGAAGTGCAGCCCTTGGAGCCAGCAAGGGCCATCTCTGGGTGGGGAGCTGCCCAGGGGCAGCCTCTCACAACTACCCCTGTGTCGTCCTCAGCTGCAGGAGGAGCTGGACAACAAAATCCAGGCCTTTGAGCAGGAGCAGGAAAAGCCTTTCCTGGTGAAGGGGCAGCAGTTCATGGAGTACGTGAAGGAGCAGTGGCAGCTCTACCACCTGGAGAAAGAGAAGGAGAAGCAGGAGCGGGTGAGTGCGAAGCTGAGCTGCTGCCTCCTGGCCCAGAGGAGCTTCTGCCCCATTAAATGCTTGCCTGTGGGTGACCCTGCCCTGTGCAGGCACAGAACTGCCCCAGCCCCTGCCCGGGGCCTCGTTGTCTTTACACTGTGTCCATTGCTATTGCTGTCTGTGTGTGTTGAGCCCCTCTCTCGTCCCCTGCTTGGCTCTGGATACCTAAAATATATCAGCAAATATCTGCTGAAATACCTGCTGCTTCGCCATGCCACAGACCATCCCCGGGGCATTGTCCCTGGCGGTGAGGGGGCTCCGTGCTGTTCCCCGCTCGGGTTGTAAGCCCAGGTCTGTCACGCAGCGCCTGAAGAAAAGCCGTCAGATGAAGGAAGAGGCGATGTACGGGAGCACCCCGCAGGCACCCCTCAAGCGTTGGATGCTCAGCCCCCACGTGCCCGCCAAAGTAAGGAAGGTAAATGGTCTGTTCCAGGGGCTGAGCCCTCTCCAAGGCCGGGCTTGGTCCCATGCAGGGCTACAGGGAGGGCTTGAGGCGGCAGGGAAGGGCTGTGGGTGCCTCTGTTGTCCCTGGGGACAGCAAACACGCTGTGGTGCTCGGTGCAGCTGGGGCTTCTACCTCAGTTTCCCTGGCACGGTGCAGCCCCCAGTTCCTCCTCGTGTGACCCGTGCTCTGTGTCTCCCCTCAGCTCAACGGCACTCAAATCTCCAGCACCGCATCCAACAGCACCGTTCGTTCAGCTTTGGGGGGAGCCACCTGCCTCTCATCAACGTCTTGTTTGACACCTTCCAAAGGGAAGGTGAGGAGCTTTGCCATTGGGTGGGCTGGGGAAGAGGTGGGTGGGCTGGGGTGTCACAGCTCCCACCGCTGTCACGCTGTGCCTCGCTGCCTCCCCTGGCAGCCCCTGGGGTGCAAAACCCCCTGTCAGTTCATGGCTGCTGCCTTGGGCCATTGTGGTTCTGGCAGGATCTTTCTGGAACTTGAGGGAGGAGGAGGGAGGGTAGTAGCAGCCTCTGGGAAATCTTTCTGGTGTAACTGTTCCTCTGTGCTGAGCCTGCAGCTTGGGGGACCTTCACAACTGGGGTGTTTCCAAGGTCAGAATTCGGCCCCAGATCCTGGAGGGCTGCTGGAGCGTGAAACGACTGTCACCATGACACTGGCACAGCTCTCCCAGCTCTACCCCATTCTTGTGTCCCATCTTAACTGTTCCTTCTTCTCATTGTTTGGCCAGGCTCGGACTCCCAACCCATCGTCTGCAAAATGCCCCCGTCCTGGACACAGGGGGCAGAACAAGGAGAACATGTCCCAGCTCAACGGAACCCCCCTGAGCGGTGGGTGCACCTCCACAGCCTCTGCCCAGCGTAACCACAGCATTAATTCTGTTGCCAGCACCTATTCAGAGTTTGTGGTAATTCACTTCTTCTAAGCCCACCTCCCCTCGCTGGGCAGGGGCCTCCCCCTCCCCGAGCACCCCAAGGGGCTCAGCTCTGCACAGCCCCCCCCATCTCCTGCCCCTGTCTGTTGGATAGACAGCAAAAATTTTAAATTGAGGTTTGGAGGCACAGCTCACGTCACACAAAGGCCAGGGGGGAGCAGACACAAAGACAGGACCCCACAAACCCCACTGTGGGGGGCCACCTCCCAGCCCTACATTGCCCCCAGAACACCCCTGCTGCGATCACGATGTGGTCACCCTTCCATGAGGATGGGCTGAGCCCAAGTTTTAACATCTGACATCAGAGAGCCTTGAGCATTCCTTCCTCATGTTTGGGCAGCAGCTACTCCTGCTCCTGGGAGGCTGGGGGTTCCTTCTCAGCTACTCAATGCTAATGCTTTCCTGCTCTCTTTGGAAGCAAGATGGGGTGGGGAGCCCAAACAACTGAGCAGGAGCCGCCTGGTTGCCCTCGCTGCTGGCCTCGAGCCCCTCTTGCTTTCCAACACTGTTGTGGAGCAGCTCTGTCCTCTCTCTCCCCTCCCCTCATCCTCATCCTCATCTTCTTTTTTTCCACTTCGCAAACTTTCGAGGTGTCCAGGACAGACAGCACCTCCCATGTCCTCAAGTCCAACACCACCAACATCTTCTGCTGAGGTCCTGCCTGCCCTGCTCACCCCCTCGCAGTCCTAGTGAGTCTTGAGCATCAGGCTGAGCATCGCACAGCTTCCCTGCCCCACAGCCTCCCCCCCAACAGGGTTAGCTTTTACTGGGGTCCCGGGTGTCCCTCGGGCCAGCCTGGCCTGTGAGGCAGAGGCTTCCTCCCTGCCAGGGACTGAAAGGGACCTTTTTTTTTTTAAAAAAAAAAAAAAATGAAATTTGAGGAATTCTTGAAAATATTTGTGATTCAAGCTTAGCGTAGGTGGTGGCGTTAGGGCAGCGCAGGGGTGGGTGCTGGCTCTGGCCGGGGGCGAGCGTTGGGGTGGACAGGATCGATGGGGAGTCCTACTCTGCCTCGTGTCATGGGCTCTCTCCCCCCTCCATATCCCATAGTTATTGTCCATCGGCATCTCCTTTTCTCAGCGTTACAGCAGGCTTGTCTCGGTGGGGGCTGGCTCTACCCGAGGTTCCCTTACCAGGCTTTGCTCAGGGGCTGGGGGTCTTTGTGGGGGCAGTGGGGCTGGGGGCCCTGGGAGAAGCAGCAGAGCACTTCACAGGCAGCAAACCTCCCCAGGCATCCTCCTGGAGCCCAGGCTGGCCTCGGGAGCCTCTGCCCCAGCCCTGAACCACAGCAGGGACGGCCTGAGCACGAGTTCTGTGTGAGGACACGAGCTGGGGGGAGAAGGGGCCAGTTGTCCTGTCCCCACCCCCTGGCACTGGCTCCTGGGCAGGGCTTGGGGGCTTGTTAGCACCTTTGTTAACGAACCTCGGTGTGTACGTGGCTGTTCCTCATCATGATGGATTTGCACCTTGTTATCACTACAGTCCCCACTTGCAGTTATTTATTCAGGTTCTGTCCCCTTGTTTTATAACTCTCTCTGTACTGTTCATGGGCATAATAAATACGTGTATGTAGCTGCTGCTCTGGGGGTGTCTGTGGCGGGGGGGGGGGCCGGGGGGGGTGGGGGGGGCCAGGGGAAGCAACAGAAGGCAAAGGAGATGTAATAAATATGTTCATAACAGGGCTCCTGTGGCTGCAGCAGAGTCGAGCTCCATGTGCAGGTCCCAGGCACCATGGGCTGAACCTGGGCAGATCCAGACCCCTCCCCGGGGACAGTGTGGGGCTGGGGCTGGTCCTGGCAGGAGCAGGGCTGGCCTGTGTCCTCGCTGCAGGCAGCTGGGATGGGGGATGGACTTTGGGCCCCTTATGGCTCCAGCACACAGACGTAGGTGGTCCAGGGCCCGCACACCACTTCCTCTGCCCGCAGCCCCTCGGCCACCAGATGCTGGACGCGGCGTGGCCGGTCAGAGCTGGCCTTGTCCCCATGTCCCAGCTGCCCGTATTTACCTGCAGACACCACAGTCGTGCCAGGTTTGGGGTGCCAGGAGAGGTGTGAGCACCACGGAATGGCCGGCTCCAGCCGGGAACCCGCGGAAGCTACGGCACCTCACAGCGGTAAAATAAATTATACAAGGCCCAGCAGCCCCGGGTGAGGCAGCAGGAAGCAAAAGCGGGTCCTGGGGGGTCCCAGAGCGAAGGCATCACTTACCCCAGCCCCAGGTGAAGAGCTCCCCGCCTCCTGCAAAGGGAACAGCACCCGTCACCCAGCACCTGGGGACCCCCGGCCCCCTCACCCACCCCGGTGTCACTGGGGGCAGCAGAGCCACCCGCCACCCTCCCGGTGCGATCCAGGCACTTACGTGTGATGACGGCCGTGTGCCGGGACCCGCAGCTGACCTGGGTGACCTCCAGCTCCTGCGGCAGGTCCAGCAGCGCCGGGAACGCCTGGATGGAAATGAAGGCGGCGTCCTCGGCCACCGGCTGCTCCTGGGGGGACCTCAGCTCCGCGTCCCCTGGGGACGAGCCAGCCCTCAGCTCCAGCAGCTGCACCAGCCCCACGGCGAGCCATGGCACCGCCTGCCTCTGCGCTGGGCCTGGCCAGCAGCCTCACCTGCACCCCCCGTGTCCTCCGCCTGTGCCTGCTCCTCTGCCAGCGCTTTGGAGGGCAGGGCCAGCTGCCCTGACTCATTCCAGCCCCACACGTAGAGGTCTCCTGCCTCTGTGTGGGGGGGCATCAGAGATCAGCCCTGAACGCTGGCAGCAGCAGGAGCTGGGCTCCCCGGCACCAGGGACGTGGGGCAGCCACAGCACAGGGACTGGTCCTGCTGGGGCTGTACACAGCCACCGGCCGCCCCGACCACCCACACCCGGCACAGCCCCTCACCGCTGACACTGGCCGAATGCCACCCTCCGGCTGCCACCGCCTGCATGGGGACACCGGCCAAGGCCTCCACCAGCCGTGGCTGTGGCTCAGACTCCAGGGTGCCGTGTCCCAGCTGCCCGTGCCTGCAGGAAGACACACACGGACAGACAGACAGACATCTCCCACACCCCATTGCACTCTGTCTCTCAACCAAGCCCCTCCTGCTGCCATGTCCCAAAGGTGGGGGGGTGCAGTGCGGGCAAAGAGCCATCACAGCCCCACGTTTTCTCAGTGCAGGTTGTGCTGCTCCACGAGACTAAACAACAGTCATTGCGAGGGATTGTTTTCCAGCGCCCCCCGTGCGAGTCCCTGGAGCATGTTTACAGCCCCCCCACCTCCTCTACCCTCACTTTCCCACAGTGCTGCAGAACCTCATCTTTATCTCCCTGCACTATAGTGCCAGACCAGATGGGGGGAGGGGGTTATGTGCCTGGGTACCCCAAAACCTGCAGCAGCCTCCACCAGAAGGGACTGCAGACACCTCAGTGGTTACCCAGAGAGAGACCCGAGTGTCCTCAGAGGCTGCCCTGACAGGGCCACAAGCCAGAAGGCCCCACAGGAGCTGCAGCCCCAGCACCCACAGAGGAGACAGGGCTGCCTGAGGGCTCATGGGCCAGAGAGGGGACCCAGAGGGAACAGGGTGGGGGTGGTGGGGCCAAAATTCCTCAGAAGCTGTGACCCAGGCTGCCTGCACGGGGAGGACGTGCTGGTGCTCAGTGGGAGCGAGAGCTCATCGGTACCTCAGCACTGACCCAGAGGAGGCTGAGATTGCTCAGTGACAGTGTAAGAAATGCCAAATTTAGCTACAAGTAGCAAAACTGGGGCCAATGGGGAACAGCATCGGGGATGACCCACCCCCCCCGCACCACAGGCCTGAAGATGTGGTGTGGGAGAGCTGAGCCACCATGGACTCACCCTCACACCAAGTGATGCAGGAGGGTAAGGAGGGAAAGGCTTGCACCCCAATACCTCTGTCCCTGCTGCACCCCGAGACCCTTCCCTGAGCCCCCACAGCCCCCCCCACACCCCATCCCAAGCACCAGGCAGTGTGGCAGGGACAGACAAACCCCAGGAGAGAAAAAAGGCAGTAACTCAACAGCAGTTGCATGTAATCAAGATTACTTAAGTAATTAATTGTTATTAATTGTAACTCACTAATTATGTGCAACAGCATAAAGAAAAACAGGATCATGAAGCAAGGAGGGGTGTGTTTACTTGTCAATTAGTTTACTGATCATGTAATCACTTTATCAGGTGATTTTACTCTGTTGACTAATCAATCAACACTACAGAGACTTGAACCAGTTTACCTTACGCCTGCAAGCTAACCGGGGCGGGGCCTGGGGCTCAGACCCCGAGGTGACACCCCCCCCCCCACATTCCTCTCATCTGCATCCCCTGCAGTCCCCCCCTGTATCCCC